GCATGATTGTAGGGCAGCAATGAGTTCAGAGGAAGAAAATGGAGCATTATAGGACTCAGCGGAGGATGGGGTGAAGGTAATGGGGGTACGTTCTCTGGTGGTCTTGATAGAAGAGAAGTGTGGAGAAAGGTGAGAACCACTACTGACCTGGCTGAAATAATCACCCAGTTCATTAGCAACTTGGAGAGGATCAGAAATGAGGGTATCTCGAATATGGAGGAAGGGGGCAGGATGGGGGGGATGTTTGCCTGATAGTTTATGGATTCGGCGCCAAACATTTGAGATAGACGTAGAGGATGTAATTGATGAAACATAATTTCGCCAGCTATTTGTTTTACTATTCCGGATTGTACGACGAAGACAGGCAGATGCTCTTTTAAAGGAAATAAGGGCTGATAGTTGGTTTGGAGTACCTCTCTTGTAGCGGTAACTGTTCCAGGCTGCACGTTTTAAGCGAAGTGCTTTAGTGCAATCAGAATTCCACCATGGAACACATTTAGAGGTATATGGTCTTGAGGTTCGAGGGATAGCTGTATGTGCAGCTCTTAAGACTGTAGTTGTGAAACACTGTATCATTTCTGAAATGGAGGTGAGGGAGGATGGAGGGGTATGAATAGCAGAGAGTGAAGTGAAAGTATGCCAGTTGGCTCTATCAAAGCACCAGCGTGGGGAGTTAGGAAGTGGTGCGTATGAAGTAGGAGAAAGGAGAACTGGAAAGTGGTCACTATACGGAAAGTGGTCTAAGACTGACCAGTGGAAATCTAAATGAAGAGAAGGGGAGCACAGAGAGAGGTCAATGCATGAAAAAGATTGCGTGCGTGTATCAAAGTGTGTGGGGCGATCTGAATTTAGAATAGTAAGGTCAGCTGTGGAGAGGAAGCGCTCTAGAGATCAGCCTCGGGAGTTGGTAATAGAATCACCCCAAAGAGTGTGGCGGCAGTTAAAGTCGCCAACTATGAGGAAAGGTGGTTGAAGTTGGGAAATTAGATTTTCAAAAGCAACAAAGTCAATGGGGTGGGAAGGGGAGAAGTAGACTGAAATCACTGTGATCCAACGATGAAGGAAGATACGAATAACTGTGCAAGGGACATTGGTTTGAAAGGGAGGTGTGACATAAGGTGTTTTCTGATTGATAAGTATGGACGAGACATAAAGGGAATGTGGGGAAGAGACAAAATGATAATTGGGGATTGGTATTGGAGGATGTGTAAGAAAGGTTTCTTGAAGGCATACAATAGATGGGTTATAAGAGGAAAGAATATGACGAAGGTCAGGTCTGTGGGAGCGGAAACCGCGAATATTCCAAAGAAGGATAGTTATACTTTCTTTGATTTAGTGATATAGACTGTAGTACGTGTTGGAGAATTTGAGGGGGAAACATCTAGAGGGTGGGATAAGGACTGAGAGGTTTGAGATGGGAGAGGTGTGGGAGTTGGTGTTCTATCAGGAGGGGTATTAGGAGATGGAGGGTCTGAGGAAGGGGATACTTGTGACATAAGGGATTCGCGTGTGTATCCAGGAGGGAGTGGAAGGGATAGAGGGGATGGTGGGAGGGTTAATGTGGGTGGGGTTGGGGTCAGGGGGGATGGGCTGTGTTGGGAGGGGGTAGGAGGATAGGGTGTAGGGGGGATATCGTTAGGAGGAGGATGGATATCAGCAGTTACTTGGAGTGTGGAAGGAGCAGGAGTTGTAGGCTGAGTGTCAGTTTTCATTAAGTAATCTTGAATATTTTCAATAGTTTCTTCTGAGGAGTTGGTTGGGGAGTTTTGGGGGATAAAGGATTTCTTGTGAGGGGGGGGAAGAGAGGACTGGTGTCTCAAGAGTAGGGGCAAAGGATGGTGGAGGTGATTGTGTGGTAGGGGAAGAGGGGGTGGAACGTTTGTTCTGTCTGTTACGGGTAGTGCGAGGAAGGAGAGGGGAAGATGTTGGGGTTGTAGTGGTGATTGGAGTATCTGTAGTAGAGATTGGAGTGTCTGGATTTAGGATGGCAAAAGAGTTTGACTTGGGAAGTAGGAGGTAGAAGTGGGGGAGTTAGATGTAGGAGGGGTGGGTTTAGGAGAAGTGGTAGAATGAGCAGTGTTACTGGAGTAAGGAGTAAGAGAGAAACCCTTATCTAACTGCAGAGCAGTTAGATAAGGGTATGGCCAGGTTGGGCACATAATGGGCATCTGGCTGTGGAACGGCAATGTTTGGCTGGGTGTCCTAGACGCCAACAATTTTGGCACTGATGTGGAGGAGGTTGGTATGGACGAACAGGGAGGGATTCTCCTCCTATGTAGACGTTAAAGGGAAGGTCATGTCTACGGAAGGTAATTTTGGCTATGTTAGTGGGTTTCTTTCGATGACCTCTGGGGGGAATGGAGTAGCATTGTACTGATGTTGCATCATAGTCTGTGAGACAGGTAAGTAGGTCTTCTCCACAATCTGACCAATCTTTGTCATAGATTGGGCAATTTGCTGGGGAGATTGAAACTGTTCCGGTGCAAGTATTGAGGGTTGG